GTCTTCTTCGTATTGCAGGCACAGAAAGGCTACTCTGGCACTCGAAATGCAAGCACAGATGCTGAGAGGTCAATGCCCCCCAGGTTCAACATTCTGCTTAGTAAAAAAAAAAAAACCAAAACTCAAAAATTAAAAATAAACAAAAAAAAAATCATATATGATAGATCATCTTGGCAAGAGATTAGTTCCTTCAGGCCAAACAGTGCTTCTTGACTTTTTATACAGCAAACAGAAAAAACCCCAACAAAACCAAAAAAAAGTTAATTCTTTTTTCTTTTTACCCTGAAGAGCTCGACAACACAAATCTCCAGGCACCACCACACAGTTCCACTGGAAGATCCTTCACTAGGTTTCATCCTTGGCGCCCCACCCTTGCGCCTCTGTGGGCACGCTGCCCGCCTGTCCATCTGTCTGTCCGTCCGGGGTATCCTCACGTCCGGATGACACCATTGCAGGGGGGGTGCTTGGGCAGGCAGGGCTCGTCGGGCAGCAGGTCATGTGAAAAGACCGAGTCATCCTCCAAGGAGCAGGTGCTGTGGGTGTCCTGGCCGGCTGGCGAGTACTGCTCGAAGGGCACCGAGAGGTCCAGGTACTCCTGCCGGGGCAACAGACCCATCAACGCTGGGTGTCACCCACCGGGTACCAAGTGACCCCTCCCCGCACCCACCCCACCACACTCACGTCGGTGGACGTCACGGTGAGGACCCTGTCGAGGTCTTCCACCAGCTGCTTGAAGGTGGGCCGCTGCGAGGGGACAGCGTGCCAGCACTCCCGCATGATCATGTACCTGCATGAGGGAAAAGGGACCGTCACCCGTGGTGGGGCTACTAAGGGGCACCCACCTGCCTGCCTTCCCACCCCCAAATTGTCCGAGAGAACAGCTATGGCCAACACAGCTCCAGCCACCACACTCCTTGTTACTGATCACCTCATGCCTGTCCACGCCTTGAAGCAGGAGGAAGAACTGTTCTAAAAAAACCCGTCCACCAGAGCTTTGCTCCCAACCGCCACCCACCAAACGAGGGCAGATGCGTTATGTCGCCCGGCAGTCATGGACTGAGCCAAAACATGTCGGGGTGGGTGAACCCACCTGCTGCCAGCCCCACAATCGCACAGTGGGGATGTCCCACCAGCCTGAACCGTGGCCTGGAGTGGCTCTTGGCTGCAGAGGGAAGGGGGAGTGAGGAGAGGAGGTCACCCCCCACCACGCACTCACAGGTCGTGGGTGCAGTTTGCGGGTTTGTCCATCCGATGGCCTTCCTTCAAGAGTTTGAAGAGTTCCTCAACGGGAATTCCCGGGTACGGAGACCCTCCCAAAGTGAAGATCTCCCATAGTAGCACTCCAAAAGACCAGCTGGAAACCAAAGAAAGATCTTTAAAATTCAATGAGTTTTTTTTCCAAGTCCCCTCCCAGATCCCCTCCCCCCGGCTCGGCTTTATTTCTGTGCAGCCATGCATAGCTAACAAAGTCATCAATAGCATGACTAATTGCCTAGGCCATTTTTACTAGTTACTTGGAGATCTCTGCTGATCCAACTCAATAGCAAAGAAATCCCAGGCACCAAGTCTGAAATTGAAATGAGCATTTAATCAGATAGGTGACAGCCCATCTATTACCCCCAGCTCTTTGTTAGGTCTTCCACCAGCTCCACTGAATGGAACAAATCAAATTATTCATGCACAGCTTCACTGAATTGCAGGCTTGGAACCACAGGCCACTAATTGTGCAAGCTGATACCAAAACTTGCTTGTTACAACACTCATTTCACTGGCCAAGCTGGGACAAAAATACCCCAACAAAAATCAGCAGAGCACTAATGTTACACCCTCCAGTCCCGCAGCTGTGCTCTGGTTAAAAGTCCTCTTCTTCAAAAATATCTTTTGCCTTCTTCATTTTCTTTTTGAAAACAGGGATTATCTGTCTCTGTTTTGCTTTCACACACGCTCACTCTCCCTGTTCTCTAGCTTTGATTTATCTGTCATGCCTGCTGCAGTATTACCTAAGCATGGAAACTATGATTTAAAATCAATAAAAGCTGAAGTATGTGAAAAATACAGAAATAGAAAAGATTCATTTGTCCAACTGCAAGTGGTGAGCCTCAGGGAGCAGGCAGGCTGGCAGCTGAATTACTGTAAAAATGCCATTACCAACCAAACATTGAAATAAAAAAGGCAGCGTGCGTGCTGAGCTACTTCAGCCCTTGAAAGTTCAGATGTGATACAGATTTACACCCAACGCAGGCTCCGCTGTTTGCTTACCGTGCAGAGGCACCAAAATGGACAAGACAGGATTAGGAAAAATAAAGGCAAACAAATGAAGCAGCAAAATTAATCCCAAAATATATTTGTTGAGTATTCACTGATCAACACTACTAAAAGCAGACAGAATATTTCAAGCTCATCTCATGTACTCAACTGAAGTGTAACTGTCTGGGGCAAAGCACGGAGGAAGCCAAGGGTGATGTTTTTTGCATGGATTTTTTTTTTTTCACAATTTTTTTTGACTGCGGGATGAATCTCCTCATCCTGTAAACTAGACAAGAAATAGTTGCCTGCCTTCCAATAATTTCGCAGCAGCTCACTAGAGATCCTCAGATGAAAGCAACTAGATAACGGTAAAATAAAGCCATGTGTGCAAAGCTGCAGCTTGGAATAGATTCATTTGCTTTTGCATCCCCAGGCACCCCAGCAGTGAACAAACCCTTCTCACACTTAGCAGTACGTTTTCCTTTAAGATACTATAGGTGGTGATTTCCCTGTCTTTTTTTTTTTTTTTTTTAAAGTGTGGTTATGCTTACACATCGCTCTGGTGAGTATAGACCCGGTCAAACAAGGCTTCTGGAGCCATCCACTTCACAGGCAGCCGACCCTGTAATTAGGAAGACAATGGGAACATCCTATCAGCATATTCCCCCAGCCACAACGGCACCATCTGAATCTTCTTTTCTAATCCAGTTTGAAACATTTTCATTAACAACCACATCTGCCTTCCCGGTCACTGGGCAAAGCAGTAGTGGCCACATATAAACAGATTAGAGCATTTGATCCCTGGATCTTTGCTGACAGTCTTTGCAGCAAATGCTCTCTGTAGAGGACTGTATTTCACTGCCAAGGCAGGTTTAAGGTAGAAGAGCACCTAAATCTTTGCATGGGAGCAGCCCCCACTGCTCATAAATGCAGCGAGCTCTGCAGCAGAGTATGGGACAACACCTCCCATCTCTTTGGTTGGAAAAGGCAATTTGACTCAAAGTCCAAGGGAAACTTCCAAGAGTGAAGGCAAGGGTCAGATCCTCTAAGAATCAAATCCTGATCCTGATGGAGGCTAAAGGAGAAGGCCTGATCCCGCATTTCCAGTGGAACATCCTACATCAGGTCATAAACACGGGCTGTCACATATGAGAAATATGAGACTATAAAGACTAGATTAATCATAATTATTCTGGCCCCTGGAGGGAATAAGAAAAGACTGTTTCACGTTTGAGGCATAATTTGGCTATGCGGGGACTCTGTCCTCCTCTGACCCACTGTCTCATGGTGCAGTACGCTAGAGATGGGACACAGGCAGGATGCACAAAAGGGATTATGCTCTCAGCTGTCCAGCACAGCTCAAACAGGGAAAAATCCACCTTATCTACAGTTAAAATTAATGTATGATTAAGAAATCCCAGCAATTAAGAAAGATTTCTAATATGATATTGGAAAGGATCAGTCTGGGCATGGTGGGCTTTGTAGGACTGCCTGGGCTTTTAGACCCCTTGCAGTCACAGGGCCCTCTGGTTCTGCAACGCCCCCAACCTCTTTCACTGCCATCTCCACACCCTCTTGTAGTTGCGGCTTTTGCTCAGAGCTCAACATCTGCTGCAGGGCTCTAAACCAAGACACAGGTCTTCTCTCCAGCCCTTCACTCTGAAATTAATCTCTACAGAAATCATAAACGACTCCAGGACTCAGCTCTTGGCTGGGACCATCTTCTCACCCTTGGCAGTGGAGCCAAGGAGCTCAGTTGTAAGAAGGAGAGAGAAACGCATGAAAGCCAGGTAGCCCCAGGTATACAAAAACTGACATTCCTCTGTCAATGGCTCTGGTGGGACAGAAGTTGGCTCCTCGGGAACTTCACTAACAGCAGTGGAGCGACTGGAAAGGGTCCCACTCTCCTATGGTAAAAACCTCGGTTTCTCTTAGTCCAAAGCCTCTTGACCAGAGCCAAGACCTCTCAACTGGCTGCTAGCACCAGCAGGATCTGTCAGGAAGAAAACGTACATTGGGTGGACTCCTTGGGCCATCCTATCTACAGCCCCTCTCAGGGTGAGGCTACTGGCACATTTCTTCCTCCTAAGCCCCTCTGGAAAGGGAGATGTGGGACAAGGGCCGCTTGCTGCAGGGACGACCAAGTTCCCTGCCAGAAGGAGAACTGCACGTGCTTGGCAGCTCTGTACTTACATTGGTGGTTTTCTTGTAATAGTCGATGTTGTGAACGTCTCTAGCGAGGCCAAAATCGGCTATTTTCATCACATTGTCTTCAGTGACTAACACGTTCCTGGCTGCCAAGTCGCGATGAATGCACTGTGAAAGGTGAGCAAGTCAATAAATAAGAGCTTGTTAGCCGCTCGCGCCTGGAACCAACAGCACCGTGTGGTTTATGAGCTGCTGTTTCATTGACTCCCAAGCTCATAAAGCTGCGGGCATGGCTTAACTACACACTTTCTGTGTCACTGCCCTGTCATGCATGCTCGGTGGGAGCCACCTCTTAGCAACACCTAATCGTCAGCCTCAGCGCTGACACAGCCACGCGTCTTTTCTCTCCAAAAGGGATGCATGGATGAGACAGCCAACCCTCCTCTTCTTTGAGTGCCTGCTAGGACGTGAAACTGTCTTTCTGCCCTGCTTCCTCCAGGAAGAGGAGTGCAGGCTGGTGTTCGAAAGAAAAAAATCCTCCAGTTAAGACATCCCCAATACATCCAAAACACATCATAATTGTTGGCTGAGAAAGAAGCTAAATTAGCCTGCACTGGGCAGAAAGGGAATTTAAAGCCACCACAACCACCCACCCTGAACCGCGGTCACAGGATGAACACATTTGACATCTAAAGCTGATCTTGCTCTTGCCATAGTGCTCCCTGCCCGCACAAAGAGGTCTCGTTGGCTGGTGCACAGTCTCGTAAACATGAAGCCTGATTCTCCACTTACGGATGTCAGGGTAAATCAGGACTAATCCCAGGGTATGATGTAAGCAAACGCAGCAGCTGGCTCAGTGCCAGCAAAGTGCTCCCCAGGGAGCATCCTGGGCACTGCCGTGCATCGAGCCAAATCCACCACCAGCTCTGCTCCCACCAAGCCTGCCCAAGCCTCAGGATCAGGCACCTGAAAGACAGTTACCTCTCTGAGTGGTAGAGGTTGAATTGGTGAGGACAGGCATCAAGTTCTGGGTCGCTTGTGCTTTTGCATGCATCTTTGGGGATGCTAATGGGCCTGCCGGTGACAGCAAGGGCTGTACAGCTACACGGCTCATGGATGCAGCCAGCATGTGGAAACTTTTGCATACAGATGAAGCCTCCCGCAAAAAACCCAAGAAACTTCATATGAAAAAATTTGGTCTCTAAAGGGAGAAGCCTGCAATGCTTTTCCTGACTCGTCCCACACACACACACACAGAGCCTGTGGACGCATGGGTCTGACTGATGCTTCTACCAAATGAAGCTTCTCAACTCACTTTCTGAGATGCCAGGTACTCCATGCCCCGGGCCACCTGGTAGGCACAGGAAACCAGGTCTTTAAATGTCAACTGCTCCTCGGGCAGCTTGCAGGTGTCAAAGGAATAGTCCATGCCAGGTGGGCGACGTGCCCTGAGGTATTCCCGCAAATTCCCCTTCGACGCGTATTCCACCAACACGTAGAGCGGTCCTGCAAGCGAGAGCACATCAGGATCCAGCAGAGTTACAGCTGACAAACCAAAATCTCATCTGGGTCACTTTGGGCAGCCAGTCAGTAATTACAGAGAAGGGACAGCCAAACCTGAGCCTCCCACAGCCCTGCCAGCAGTGGGCTGCTTTGCTACGTACCGTCCTGCGTGCAGGCGCCGAGGAGGTTAATAATGTTTTTATGCTTCCCAATCATTTTCATCATTTCCATCTCAGAGACCAGGTCGGAAAGGTCCTTGTCTGTGGCATCATCTGGAGAAAACAAGAGAGGAAAGCAAAAAAATGTCAGGAAGAAAGAAAGTGGTTTGTGAAGTAGTTAATTCAACTGCTGCATAGCCATATTGGGGTTTGATGGGGAAACAGTACTGAAAATATTGCAGTATTTGTTTTTATACTACTTTGGGAAGAAGAATCAAAATGCAAGCAAAAAACACTCTCTCAAAAAAGGAGAGAATTTTTGTTCAGGAAGAAGAAACAAATAGCTGGAGAGAAATGTTCATATGGAAATCAATAAAACTTTTCCTCTTCTGTTTCATCCTGATATATATTAAAGAACAAAAGTTAGTTTTGGTACCTGGCATCATTTTCCATTTTTGATTATTTCCCTCCCTCATCTCCAGTGGCAAAGATGTAAGGATGGAGGGAAGTCAGAGCTGGGAGACGGACTAGAGGAAGGAATGTATTTTTTGCATGGAAAGCTGTAAATTTTCTACAAAGATAGAAACACTCCCCCCATTATCAACAAAAGTAGAAAAACAGGGGAAAACTTCCCCAAATGAATGCTTTGGTTTGGAAAGATGGAAGTGTTCCTCCTTCAAAAAACAACTTCAGAATGGACTGAAGAAAATGTAAATTAAACGAATACTTTTCTGATAAGAAATATTATTTTTTCAAAGATGTCACCACATGTAACCTCAACCCCAGGCTGCTCACTGTTGGAACATCTGCCCCACTTGCTCCAGCTGAACTCCTCAGGGTGACTTTGTCTGCACCTTGTCTGTGGTTACTGTGCGTGGGGGGAGGATGGGAAACAGAGACTCATCGGGGGGTGCCCAGTGAATCCCACTTTGGCTTCCCTTTAAACTCTCAGGAGATTGTAATCGAGTTTCTTCAATGAAGAACTCCCCAAGAAGGATTCTATCAACCAAATTTCTGCAAACTCAACCTGAGCTTGTTGCATAAGCTTTTGCTAGAACAGGCAGCACTGGTTCCAGGAGGGGTAAGGAGTGGGCTGATTGATGGAGCTGGCTAGAAGTGAAGGGGGTTCCCCTTCTCAGGGATGCTCCCTTGGCAGAGAACTGGGTTAATTCCCATTCCCTCTTCCTGATGGGATTTGCACTTTTACCTGCTCTCCAAGGAGACAGCCCTCACCCCCAGGCTATGTGGGTGAAGGGGAAGAAAGGCTCTTCTTGCTTTCTTCTATTGTATCTGTTTGTATAAGAGACTTAAAAGAGAAGCAAAGAGAGGAAATCCCAGCACAATATACTGTTCTGCCCTCCGTAGACTCCCCATACCTTTTAACATCTTGACAGCAACTGTGATGGCCTTGTTTGGCTTGTCCTTATCAATCCCAATCGCTTCCGCCATCACCACTTGGCCAAAACACCCCTCGCCGAGCGGCTTCCCCAGGGTCAGGCTGGAGGGAGGAACAAGCAGGCACGTTAGAGGGTACTGGGGTGGTGACACTGCCAGCAGGCACAGGGACCCCGACCCATCTTCGGGTGACTGACCGAGAGCGTGCCAATTCCCACTTGGGATCAGGAGGCAGTTCTAGCTCAGAGACATTGGCCAGCATCGGCCCATCGCTGGAGGAGAGCCGCGTGATCCGGACCAGGGGCGTGTTGGAATTCATGGAAGAGTTGGACTCCAACGACACCTGCTTGGGTAGAGCAAATTAAGTGTTATTGCCAACTGTATTCCCAGTGCCTGAGATGGATTACTGAGGGTTTGAGCTATAATTGCCTACTGACACCTTTCTGGTAATTTCTAAAAGGAAAATCCCACCCTCCATCACCTCTCCCTCTATCCTTGCAGAAACACACTGATCTATACACCTGAGGTCACATTTTTAGCTGGTGGAAAAGAGGGACAGGTCAGTTAATGCCCTGCAGCAGGCAGGAGGTATACTCCGTCTATTTGCTCTGTGTGCATCTCCATAGCACGTACAGGTTATGGAGTGACTTCTCCGGTTCTGGCACTGGAAACGCCCACCATGAGCTTGCAGCCAAAGCCATGAAACCTCTATCCTTCCCTATGTGGTTTTTGCTCCTACCCCTCTCCAATTACGTGTGGTAGAGCATCTCTAACCACATGGAGGAAGAGGACCCTCTCCTACCTCCACGAGAACTGGTTCATATCACCAGTGACCCTCTGAAAGCAGGACCGAGCACAATTAAACATGCTCTTGCTCCCCAAATCCCCGCTTCACCAGGGAGACTGGACTAAACTGTTCCCCTGCAAGATGTGCTTTCTGTGGCATCCACAGCAGCGCTGCGAGCCCCTCTTGGACAAGGGCAACAGAAATGTGTCTGCTTGGGAGCTGCCACCGGCTACTGCTCCACCCGAACAGAAATGACAAAAGGGGTTAGACTCCTAGCCTGCAACCAATTTATGTTATGTCCCTCTTGGGCAATATTTTTCTGGTAGAACTTCTCACCTAGAGAGAAAACTTCAAGGAGACCAAAAAAAAAAAAAAAAAGAAAAAAGAAAAAAAAAGAGGGGTGACCATAGGGGGGAATAGGAATCTTGTATCTACTTTCTGTTACCTGTCTCTTGAGTGGAAATTTGGAGACTTTCTGTACAGTGGGGGTGTTCATGGCTTTTTTGTTTGGCATTTTCATCCTGCAGATAATCACAGCGACCAGCACCATGACGAAGACAACAAAGCCAGTGCCGTAACTGACAACGCCAGTGAACACTGAGCCTGAATCATCCATTTCCATGAGCTCCTCCGCTGCGGGGTGACAAGAGATGGCAGTCAGGACGGGGCAGGCAGCTGCCTGCACACAACTACACACACGCAGTGCAAAGAATTTGGGGAGGACTTGCTCATCTATGCCAATTTGCTGAGAGACTTCAGTGAGAGGACTCTCCTAAGCCAGTGGTTTTCCACCTGTGGCTGTACCTAAAACACTAGTGTGGTTTGCCTTTTGGGGGGTAATTTCACTGCCCTTTGATGCAACCCTGGGGTTTCTAAGAGCCTTTAGCCCACAGGTTGAAAACCACTGCTCTAGGCTGAAGGCATCTTCTTGCATCTGTGCTGTCCCTCTGATCCAGATCTTGCTTTCCCCGCACATCCACACTATGTAGCTGGATGCCTTGGATGTGGAAAGGCTGCAGGACTGGGGGTTTGCTGAACTTTGCCAATTTGGCTTCTCCAGCAACGATTTCCACTGGACCAGTGCCTGCCCTGAGGGACCAAGGGTCTCGAAGGGGACCCAGGGGTAAGGCATCACACAGGGAAAAAAGCCTCATGAGAGCAATCTGCATGATTATTTAATGAAAACTTAGTTCTGCTGGGAGGAGGCTGGAAGGTCTGGCCCAGAGAGGGGCTGAGCTGGGAGGGTGCTGGCATGAGCCCATCAGCAGTGGCTATCTGCTAGCAAGACTTTTATGGGACCAGCAAAGCTCAGCTGTGTTTCTCCCCTTGTTCCTTTCACGACAGGCACGCAGACCAGAGGAAAGGGCCATGGTGGGACTGGTTTTCTGTCCCCCAAAAGCATACTGGTATCAGAGGAACAGCCAGCAGTGGGAAACTTTATACTGAAGTCATGCCGGTGCGGTTAGCTCGCCAATGGCTCAGGTACATCACTGCTGCCCCAAAGCAGCGTCTTCAGCAAGCAGCAGGAGCTTTCCCTGGCAGCAGCAGGCTCCGTGTCAGGTCTTCGGTGGCTGTGTTCAGGGGGACACCGGGAAAGGGCTGTGGGTGACATTGGGGGCTGCACCAGCCTGTGTGCCAGCTGTGCAGGGCTGATCCTGACAAGCGGCCGTCTCCTCCTGCGAGGAAGGGTTACCAGAGCTCCCGGGATCAGCCACTAGGGTCGGTGCTGCAGCTCTGCTGTCTTGCCCTCTGCTCCATGTCTCTGCTCCCTGAGCGTGGGCAGGGGTTTACAAGCAGAGGTTCCCCAGACGGGCTGTATCCTGCACCCTCTCTGTGGGTAGTGCTGGGGGCCTGCTGCTGCACAGACAGCTGTCCTCCGCTGCCCCTGACTTCAATATGAAGTTCCACTTCAGGTTTTTGGGTGGGTTTTCTTCCTCTTTGCTTAAATAAGAGGTGTGAGTTCATACATTGTAAAAACAGCGTAACAGTCAGGTAAGACAGTATTAGGAGATTCTCAAAATAACAGAGACATTAGTCTTCTAACCAAAGGAAATGATTTCTCATCCAGTGGATGGCAGAAGCAGAAATAGGATCAGATCAGCTATTATAGAGCTAGCAAATAAACAGAGAAAAGACCAGCAGATCCCACTGGCAGCAGGGCTGGGCGTGGAGGAGACCTTCTTGAGCCCCAGTAAAAGCGATTACATCCAAATCACCCACATAGATAAAGTCAAGATTAGAAATGCCAAAGTTTCCGGTTCCTAAACACATCCTGAGATGGATGTGCTGTGAGATGGACCCAAATGTGGTCTATGACTGGGTGAGCCAAAGTGGGGTGTATAGGATTTTGGGTGCCCTTTCAGTAAGGGTCTACTGAACACACTCCAGGTCTGCTCCTGCACTCTCTGTGAGGCACAGTAACCAGGAGATACAATACGAATATTGCTGGTACTTTCCTGGACTGTGCTCAAGCCTGCCCTGTAGCCAGAGGCAGATTCTGCAGGTGACGGGACAGCAGAGCCTCATTCCCTTCTTCTGGAGGGCAGACCCCTCTGTTGCATATTCTGCACTGGCTCCATTGTCAATGAGAGCTTTGCACATGAAAGGACCAAAAAATTGGGGTCACTCTGGCCTCAGGTTTCAAGCCCACTGCAGCTTTCATCGATCCCAGCTGGAGCAGGCAGCAGGCAATGCCCCTGGGAGCCAGGACTCCTGGGCTCTCTCTACAGATGACTCTCCTCAACCTTCTGTTTAAGATCACTATCTTGGCCTGTTCATCCGTGAAGCGGAAATAATGCTACAGGCAAGGAAGGGTGTGCTCACAACAACCACTTACACATCTAATTTTAGGTTAAGATATGAGGTTAGACAGAAAGGTTCCTTCATAAGATGATCCACAGTCCATGTCCAATTTAGGTGCCCTGGATCATCTGATGGGGAGGTTTCCTTCTCCCACTGACAGTGTAAGAAGACAAAGCTCCTAATTTTGGCACTTATCAGTCTCCTAACAAAGAGGCTGTGAATACCAACTTGTTACGTAGACAAAAAAAAAAAAAAAAGATACTGGACACTTTGTATCATTAATGCAAAAATAATTTAAATCTTGAAATGCAATGCAAAAAGTGTCAGCTGTGAACAGGCAACAGAGGTCTCCTGCTGTGCAGATTTACCACCAACACAGCAAATCCCAAGGGGAGCCCTCCCCGGATAATGCACCCCCTTCCAAGAAAAGGGCGGTCTGCAGGAACTTGGCATTTCTAAAGAAAAACGTCAAGGCACCCTGGAGAAGGAAAGAGAGGCCAGCACAGAAGGAAATACCTGGTAGCACCGTCAGCCAAGCAGAGTGATGTGAGAACCCAATAGAATTCCCTGCGAGACAAGTATATTCCCCAGCATCCTCAAAAGTAACATTTCGCAAGTACAGAATCTCTAGCTCCTTATCCGTTGTGTTAACACCTGCCGTCTATGGGGAAAAAAAACACACACATATAGAAAGAGGGAAAACAGAGAATAAGCCACATTCCCAGCAAGTGTGAGGACACCACAGGCAAATTTCAAAAGCAGATTAAGGTGTTTTTTTTTTTTTTCCAATGGCCCATCTTCCACATTTATTTATTCATTCCCCTCTGCAACCTGCAGTCAAAAGCAAAAAAAAAAAAAAGTTCCCTTCACCAGGTTCTTACTCTGTCCCACTAAAGAAGCATGCAAGCAAAAGCATCCAAATGAAAAATTGCCCCCACAATATGACTGACTCTCAGTTAGTAGGGTGAGTACAGACGGGGGGAAAGAAAGATGGCAAAGGAGGAGAGGAAAGACAGAAAGAAAGGAGAAAGGAGGGGAGATGTAGTGGGGAAAGACTCAAGTGCTGATCGGAGGAACATACAAATATTTTGATTCATTAGGTGATGAAAAAATACAGAATTTTAGAATTTTTTAGAATTTTTTCAGAGTGGGCATCTCAGAACCATATATTCATTACATGGCCCTTGATGCTGTAACGTAACTCTTGATGATCACAAGAAGAGCTTTCCTGCAGTAGCACTGAGCAACACAGCAGCCAAACCATCCAGGCTGGAGTCAAACCCCAGAGCCCAGGAGATTGCTGCCACTCTCTATTTAATGTTTGCTTGCATGAGCCAATGTTGATATTTATTTCTCCATTACTCCTCCAAGGGACAGAAATCTGTGTACTGATTACATCAGTTTTACAGGTGAAAATCTTGAAACAGCTTGGTTTTCCAGAGCTTTGAACGTCACAGGTCATTAACATGCAATTTTGTTATCAGCACTCAATTGTAAGGAAGGGAAAGGAATAAAAGTGTGAAGAGTTGATAGCAAAATTTGACAGTCATTTTATTGTGGGAATTTTTCCATGGCAATTGCTGTATAGGTGTTACATTCTTGTAAAAAAAAAAAAATTAGCAAGAAAATAAGATAAAGCCATTCAGCGTCAGTTGACAGGGTATAATACAAAATGAATAGTAATTTTAATCACTAGCTTCTTAAAAATGTTATAGCTCATTCTTGCGGTTGCCAGGGCCTTGGGACAGAGTCTGTGGTTTACCTGGTTTTGGTTTGCGAATGTGGAGCCAAAATGGTTTTTCGGCTATGCCTACGAAATTGTTGGCTCTACACAGATATTCTCCTTCATCTTGTTCTGTCACATTGAACAGATTTAGGTTAGCATCGGCTTCAGCGTTTTTACTGATCCAAGACTGCAGGAATAGACAGAAACCTGAACTTCAGTAAACCAAACAATACCTCCATCACACCTATATTAGCTAGGATTGACTGTTCATGGCTATTTTATTTTTGGCTGTTGTACCATCCCCGTCTCACCCAGTGGTGAGAGACCTAACCCAGGATCTGGGTGAAGAAGAGAAGTTGCATTTGGCCCCCAAATCACATGCAGGTGAACTCCCTTCACTAGTGGCACAACACGCGATTTCTTTTTTAAAACAGGCCAATTTCCCACTTCTCCATCTGACAGCAATCAAAGGCCCTATGGCTTCTTAATAACCCTGCAGACAGGAGCACCAGAGAAAGGGCTTAAGCAGAGATTTGTGTTTGCAACCCGGCTCAGCAAATACTGTTTCAATTATCAGATTCCAAAATAGAATTTGGAAATAAAATATAAGCAGTGGCGGTCTGAAACTCGCTGCTGACTTTGCCTTTCAGAAATTAGCTGTAATTTTTTCCACTGCTTATAGGAGCCTCTTCTTTACTAAATAAAGTGGTGCATACAAATCAGACAAACTTCAGACTGTTAAGCCAGGGTTTTATTTCTATTCTTCCACGCTGTCACAACAGCACTTCAGTTTGTTTCCTACACAGTTGTTTTTATTTTGGTTGAAAATGCACAACCATTTTGGGTGGCCCTAGAAGTAGCCTAGGGAAAGTCTAGAAAAAATATCAGCTTCAGTTCTGGAAACGAAAATAAAACAACTGGTCTTTTCATTTTTTGGTCTTACGCTCTCCAGCCCAGTCTCGGTGCCTTTGATTTCAAGGCCTGATCCTGCCAGTATGACTGGCAGCCCCTTAAAATCAACAGGGCTGCCAGATCCGAGAGGTTATTAGGAGCTGAACCCAGAGGTGGCATCAGAGAGGAGCCCCAACGTCCATGTCTGATGACAAACACCACTGGTTTTGACCTGATCTCATCTCTACGGCTTATGTGCTGGCAAGCTTGTCTGTCCTGACTAGCGGGGAAACGTGCCCGCCTGCTGTTGCTGCCTTGTGTATAACGGAACTGGGCATGTTTCAATGCAGAACATACAATTTAGCCTTTGACAAAGCTTGGGCACAGTGTTGCCAGCCCCAGCTCCCTAACTGGAATGCATTTAGTGTTCTTCTGCAAAGAAAAAGGGGTTTCCTTTGATCACAAATTAGACCAGGCTTTCAGGAATTGATGCAGGTGATGGCTTGGTTTTGTCAGGCTGTTTAAAAAATGGGTTGAAAATACAGCATTCAACTTATCCATCTGGACTGGGGTGGGTTTTGACCCCCCCATTCAGATGTGAGGAGGGAATTTCATATGCTGGGCACCTCTCCTTCCCCCTCACTCTGATGGAGACCGAACAGTCCCCATCTACAAACTGCCCCATAGCAGCTTCTACACTTCACAAAATCTCTTGAAAGCAGGAGGGAAGGGCAGGCTGATAAAAAAGCCTTATCTCCCTGCAAGCACCACAGCACTGGGCTGCTGTAGAGAGAGCCTTTTCTAAAGCAGCTGTGGGCAGGGGAGGGCTGTTAGCAGCACCCTGCTCCTGCAGCACGGCCAGGATGCTGGGTCAAAGCAACAGCACCACGTGGCACAAGAGGGACGAGTCCATAAAGCCAAAAGACTGGCCCCAAGATGACAGTGAGATCATTTTATCAGATCCTTATTTTTAAAAAACAAGCACGCACACATTTGAAAAAAAAATCCCTGCAAAGCTGGGCCTGACACAGCTCCACGGAGGCCCAGTGCTGGCGCACAAAAGATGCATCCCAAAATGGAAACGCTCTGTGCCCCAGTGCTGATGCCGGCATTAATACAATTCAAAGCATTCCTGATCAACCAGAAGTAGTAAATAGACGTGTGCTGGTCCTATTAAGAAAAAAAAAAAAATAAAACCAAACAAAACTTGGGCTTTCAAACGCCTGCCTGTGCTCCCCTTCGAGGAATGTGGAGCCTTTGCCGTCCACAGAAGAGAAGGTATTTGGCAATTCTAATTACCTAGCCACCCCGGTGCCGCTCCAATTTAATTTTAAAACACTATTTATACGAACTATTTATATATTCTTTGCCACGGCAAAATGGGAGCTTGTGCTTGTGACACAAGGCACTGTTCGCAGCAGCTCTGCAAACTTCCAAAAGGTAGCACTTTATCCCACGGGGACCACACACGGAGCTCAGAGACTATGCTAGATGGTATGTGACACAGCCAGCTATTCAGAGCTTGGTACTGGGCTGTGAAACCAGGGGGAAATTCAAATATGCATAATTCAAACACATTTGGAGAGCCAGTGAGAAAATAAGAAGTTTTATCAACTCGCAAGAAGCGCGTGGTGCCAATCCTGAAGAACTGTCTCCAACCATTTCTTCCAACCAATCTGTTATTTCAATCTGTGTAATTATTTCCAGGGTCTCTGGCTTTTATTATCATGTATCTGGCTGAGTTACAGTTTTGTAAATGCTGTCTGATAAGTGAGGTTTTTTTAAAACTTCATACAAAGAGAAGAGGGGTGTGAGCAGCAGGATGTGCACGGGGGATGTCCACGCACAGGACAGCCCTTGGCTTTAAACTGCAGGGACAAAATCTGCTTTCAACTATAACTGCAGAGCCAGAGAAACTCAATTTGGCCCTACACATTTTAATAAACACCAGCACAGGATGCCTTTAATTATTAAAAGAAAAGAAAAGGTATCTAAAAGTCCAATGTCCTTTTCACTCTCTATTCTCTACTTTCTATATTTACATAGGTTGGAGGGGAAACCAGACCCACTGGCTTTATTCTGGCTGTAATCTGGAAATTCCCTTTCAAGAAAGCACTTTAGCAAAGTCAATTCTTACTGAGTGAGTTTTTGCTCAATTAAAAAAAAGGCTTTCCTGAGCATGGATAATAGCAATGCTCACAAACGTTAGTGGCTGGATCAAGACTATCTTGGCTCTCAGGTGCTGGTAGTTCAGCATTATTTAGTATGTGAATGCTGCAGTGTGTTTACTTAGAAAACTAAGGAATGTGTTTTAGTTGGGAGCCTTTTATTTTAATAAGTCCTGAAAAAACTTCTTTTGAAGCTGTAAAAGGTTATTTTTACAATTTTAGGTCAAATGCAATCTGACAGCTTCTCTTTTATTACACTGCATTTCTCACAGTTGCCTCAGCTCTTACAACTGCTTTGCTTATCTGTGCCACTACAGTAGTTGTGTTATCTCTGGCAAACAGAAGAGCCTGGAACACCATCTTTAGGGCATTTTTGCTGTACCCCCTCCAAAAAAGCAAAGTATTCCACCATGTGGGCTTAAAGGAAAGAACAATCCCAACAGCTGTCCTTGCCTTGTTCTTGTGACTTTTTTCCTATAGACACAAAACAATTACAGAACATGAGACCTCGAGCTTATTAAAAATCTGATTTAAATAATGACTACCCTTCTAGGAATGGTCGCATTGAACATATTCTGTTGGGAGTTTCTGGTTCGCATTGCACTGCTAGCCTAGGGCTTATTTATAAACATGTAAATAAAGTTTATGGCTTCCATCAACAGCAAGCACCTTTACTCAGTGCTGATCTCTCTTGCCATGAGTACAGCAGTGGGTTTTTTTGAGGGCCATCCCCACAACAGAGCTGCCGTTTCTGTAACACCGAGACCAAGGCAGAGGAAGGACTGCCCTGAGTGTGAGAAGAAGGAGCGTGTACCAACCTTCAGCACTGTGACATATGGTGTCCCATCGGGTCCATATTTGCTGCCGTTGACTTCCACATGTTTCAGCCACTGGATGTGAGGCTGCGCATCGCTGTAGACCTTGCAGTGAAACTCCACATTGCTCCCTACCACCACGGTCTGGTTGGCAGGGAGCCCTGCTTGCAGGATTGGTCGGTGGGGCGACCTTTCTGAAAAACAGAAAACAGAGGGAAATCCTAATTTACTTGTCCTTCTTCCAGCAAGGATACTCCTCTGAACCCTTCATCTCCTGGCTTTTCAGCAGAATGGGTGCAGACTGGGATTGTTCCTCCAGGTGTCCTGGCCACCGATCTACCCAGTGCTTCTCAAGCCAAACGGGGAAGAACCCCCTGGGAACAGAGGAGGCATCTCAGCCCTGCCATTCCTTCTCTGGCCCCTCTGTAGACAAGCCAAGTAATTTATTGATCACAGATCCAAGGCTGAATTGTTGGCCAAAAGGAAGCTTGTTGTTCGTTTTAGAAGACACATGATCCAGCACTTTGGGAAAGAAACCAAGCTCCTGCTTCCCATATTCCATCACACGCCTGTTCAACATCACCACAGATCAGCTGTTGAGGAAAACAGTGAAATCTCACCTAATACATCAAGCTGGTATGTGTGCCTAATGTTGCCGTATTTGTTCTCCACAACACAGGTGTAATTTCCTCGATCTGACGGCACAACGCTCTCCATCACCAAGCTCCACTGCTGGTGTCGCAACTAGAAGAAGAAATCAAACCATCAAGCTCATGGTTGAGTACCATCATTACCAGGCCCCTGAAATCAGTGAATGATCAGTGAGCTTCTACACACGTGGCCAGCACAAATGGACCCCAGAGTAGGCCTGAACAACACGAGGACCCATTTCAAGGGTCATTAAAGCCTTAATGTGAAAAGGAATTAAGACCGGTGCAGGAACAGTGCAACACAATGTGATATTCTGAGATTGCAGTGGGGACTTGTAGATGCTTCCGCAATAACAACAATAATGAAACCAGCTGACAGCTGAATGTGCCACCTCTCATTAGAGCAACCACTTCAGAAGGCATCAGCTAAGATAACTCCAATCTGCTGGTCCCCTCTGCCAGACCATGCTGGTCCAGAGACTCTGTTAGCTCAAAATACTGTAGTCACATCTGAAGATCTTTACTAACTGCTACATATAGCCCACAGGATGACTACAAACAATAAAAATCATACTTCCTAGCCCATCTATAATATATTTTAAAAACGTGTGCTGTAGAGGCAACAGGTCATGGCATCTGTCTGAACTGAAATGGGTGTCTACAACTGAGTTAGTCCCCTAAATTCCCTGTAAAAAACAGGGAAAAAAATGCCCAGCCTTAAATCTGGTCCCTAGAATGCCTGGTCAGCTCTTCCTTTTTGGCACTAAGTTTTATACTATTTGGTTGTCTGGATGTGGCTCATGTTCAGAGTTGTTGGCTGTTCAAGTAGCAGAAGGGAAGGCACAATCCGTGTCTCCACCTTGACCTGTTGCCCTGTGATCCCAGCTAGAACGTTTGTTTCTAATGAGTATAAAGGAAATAACAGATATGAAAAGCAAATCTTGAATTAATACAGAAAGCAACCAACAGTAACAAAGATGACTTCAGGATGCATAGTGTATGAAAACTCTCCAAATCTCGGGATATTAATTTGATGCCTTCTGCTGCCCAAAGCAGAACATTTAACTTTATTAAACATTTTGAAGGTGACTCCAAGGACACAGAAGCAGGAGATTACAATAATGCTGCACTACAGAATGTCAAGGGCTGATGGAAAAAACAAGGGCATAATTGCTCCTGGAGGTTTCTTGCTGCAGCAGGTGAACTCAAATATGAAGTCATTTAACCTCTTTTGCTACACGTAAATTGCATCCACATGCTTTCCTTTAAAGGGCCAAGTTGCAATTAAAGCCAGAATTTTGCAGAGAGCAGGTTTAAAGTCATAGGACTAGACAGCTTAGTTGCAAGATAAGCAAGCAAAAGTCATTTGAACAAAGCTTTGTAGATCTCTACATCCCCGAGAACAGCACTGCTGAGCACCCCGCTTTTCAGAGACCGCTGAATACAGCATTCCCTTTCATTTCAGCTTATAGGTAACAGGAGGCTGTGGCTAAACAGTCCGTACAGAAATCTCAGTTGTTGCAGATGTCTGTCTGGTCAGGTCCAACTACACCCTCTGCCCACTCAGGACAGCACAGATGGAGCTCAATGCACAACCAACACTGTACCTTTTGTAAAGCATCTCTGTAACAACAGTGCGGCAATTACAGGGTAAGAGGAGCTCTGAGAACAGAGAACCTGGACCCCAAGCTCACAGCTGAACATACCAGACTGTCAAGGAAGTTTCAATGCAAATTTGTGGCTGCTCAGTGGCTCATTTCCATACTGGCTTGTCTCATAGTTGTGTCTGAAGATTTCTTTTAATCCACTTTTTGGCATTGCAAAGCATTTGCATCTGGCAAACCTAGGAGCTGCTCCAAGGAAATGGGGCTTCAGGTACATGGACGTCTCCCTAGCCTGACCTGTATTATAAAATCAGGTCCAAATGAGCTGTTTTACTTAGGGTGCACTTTCAAAGACACTTTTATGACACTTTCAAAGCACTTCTCTTTGTCAGGGTTGTGATGAGGACTTTGGTCTCTGAACAGAGAGCAGAATCTGGGGGGCACAGACTCATGGGGCAGAACTTGTTTGGAAGCTCTTCTAGAAGCAACAATTTTTTTTTTTTTTAGGTTGAGACTGGTGTCTAGATTTAAAGAATAATAAAAAAGGGATGTTTCCAAGTTAGGATAGTCACCGTACTCGATAAAACACTAGAAACACAAAGTGACTTAGTGCAGGCATTAATCAAGTGGGTGAGATACTGGAAATCCCTCTGGTTTATTTGGTGTTGTCATTCTTGGCTCCTCGTGAAACAAACAGTTGCAGACACACTTGGAACCTCAGTCCCTGTTTGCCAGACTGGTATGCAAGTCAGTGCAATGGTCTGGGGAAGGGATAATCCTCTGTCTCCCCTCCCCCTCCATCTTCCCTTCTAGGGTCATTTAACACGCACAGGCTTACCATATTAGAGATTCCAACAAGGATTTAACCATTAATGCTCTTTGGGAAATTTCATATGATAAGTCATATGAATTTCTTTTCCCTACCAGTTAAGGATGAACTGTAACAAAGCTAGGTTAGCCTGGACTTCAAGTTTTCAACACTCGCCCGTCTCTCTTGCAGACTTTACACCGGGCAATCACACGGGATCTAAATGCCATTTGCAAGAGAGAGAAGTGGAAGAGTGGTCAGCTTTCATGTGCTGACCGCAGACCTTTCACAATCAACGTTTAAACTCTTCCACAGAATGAAAACAAATGAGAACATTCCCAGCTCAAGGATTTCAGGGTTAAGACCAGATCTCGAGATGAAGTAAGCCAACCAAACTCTGCCAGCTCTGGATCTTGCCCATTCTTTTCAAGCTGCCTAATCCTGTTATGAAGTTAATTTGTAACAGGGAATTTAAATCTTAAATACATGAGATACTGAGCTGGTTTTCAATCTCTTTTTCTGGTTCAAATCTCAGCTGATATCTATCAGTATATTTATAGTGGATGAGATTTACATTAGAGTACTCACATCTAACCCCCTCTTGAGCAAAAGCAAGCACATAAGGGAAGGAAAATTACAGAGAGAGAAAGATGTCTTTATACAAGGAAAGGGACAAAAGAACTACACCTAGACAGATAGAGAGCTTAAACCAATCTTGCTGTAATTGGCCTGACATTGCCTTCAATAGCTCTTTAACCATCAGCTTGTTGCTGGAAGGTGCCCCTAGAGAAACAAAGTGCAGTGATGCCAACCACTCACTACGGTGCTGCAGAAGATAAAACTTGTCAATTTAAACTCAAGGGTAGATTAAAACCACTGGGAAGTGGGTAGAGGAATTGCTTTCAGCTTTAGATTTCACTCTGCAAGCATAATTTAGTGCAGCTGATGTCACATAGTTTTGTAAAAAGCCATTCGAATGGCACATGCAAGCCTCAAAACACTTCATGATGATCCTTACAGCCTGCAATTACTAAAAGACATTTGTGCCTTGTGAATGTCATCTGCTCTAAGGCTGTTTACCCACAGGAGTTGCTTCCCCACTTCTTTTACCTCTTTAACTTTTCAGAAAGTCTAAACCTGAGCGTGTCCTCAGCCTTGTCTGGGCTGGAGTAGGGACAGGACTGAGGAGGGAGCTTCAAAGGCTCCACTGAAGCAATCACAAAAGGCTCTTTCAGGAACCGGTCTGAGCTAACAGGAAAGAAACAGCCCAAAACTGTGGGGAAGGAAGAGAAGCAATCACAAAAGGCTCTTTCAGGAACTGGTCTGAGCTAACAGGAAAGAAACAGCCTAAAACTGTGGGGAAGGAAGATTTTTTTTTTAATCCTTTTCTGGTTTCTGGAGCCCGGCACACTTTGCATGCCTAGCCCCCTTTCAGAAGGCTACAGATGTGGTAGGCATCAGCATGCAGCTATTCAGAGTGCTGATGAAGGTTCCTTTCCTAAAAATCACCTTCTCTCCTTAGCAGTAGCCCAGGGATATGCCAGGGCTGGCAGAGTACAGGCAGAAATCGTGCTCCAGAGTCCTTCCTGCTACACCGATTTTGCTGTAATCAGCTGCTGCCAGTTTTATTTTCCTCAAATAAAAGCAGAAGGGAACCTGACTGTGACCTCAAGGGGACAAAGTAATAGCAACAACAAAACCAGAGCAGCTGATTTTCCTGTTAAAATCCTGCCATAATTCATCATATACAGTGGCACAGAAACTTCTGGCTAATTAAATCATTTGAGCGTAGTGGTTTTTTGTGTCCCTTAACTCCATCTATAAACACAAGCCAGAGCCTTTTCCAGAACACCTTATGGTAGAAAGGAAGGAAGGAGAAGAAAGCGGCCAAGGAGCAGATGCTATTACTCTGGCTACAAGGAAACCCAACACTTGACCAAGGGTCAGTGATTTATACCACAAGAATGTTAATGACCATCAGCACGATGGTCCAGCTCTTTGGTGAGGTTCTTCCTACACCTTCAAAGGAGACAGAGTCACTTTTCCTTGAAAGCTGGGAGTAGCTACGGCTGAGTCTAACACATCTCAAAGCACTGGGCTGATCTCCAGAAATTAGGACAGAAGTTTTTGTTCCTGCTTTCTCATCACTCTCCACAGGGCAACCATAAACCCAGCCTCATTTTTACCTAGTCCCTAAAGGACCACTATAGACAAACCCAGAGGGAATTAGCCCTCAATCCCAAGGGACAGCAGCCCTTTTCAACACTTTGGTGTCAAGCAATTTCTAAGGCTGCCCGAAACACCCCCAATTCCATGCAGTCGAGACTGTGCTCTTACATGTACCAATGTTAATCACTGCAAAACACAATTTTCTACAGTAGGTAGAAAACTCCTGATGAAAAGAGAGATCCAAAACAAAGCCTTACCTTGATGCCCCCAATCCTATGCTCTCCCTTGAACTCCTTGCCGTTTTTCAGCCAGTAGATGGAAGGAGTTGGGTTTCCACCCGCCGGACATCGGAAGCGAACGGTGTTGGCGGCGGGAACTGCTAGCAGCTTCTTATCCATCTTATCTGGCCGGGTCCAGAAGGGGACACCTGAGAAAGGAAAGGCCAAGTTGAACAGGCCCATTTCTGCCGCGAAGGATATCAGCTGGGGAGCAGATGCATTCGAGGAGGCTTTGGCATGTGCAGAGTGACAGTTAAATTGCTACCTGCTGCAGTTAAGATAAATGACACAGAACTGCTTTCCAGCTAAATGACTCTCATAGACGTAGACAGGGTGTTTGCATTTTAGCTTTGTGATGAAAGGTTCATGACCAGGTTCTTGTCTCGGTAATGCCAGCATAAATCTAGAGTAGCTGCTTTTAAATCAACAGGGAGAGCTATCCCAGATCAGGATGAGAATCTGGCCTCAGTGTGTAAAAAGACACAGATGTACCTTTGGGATAATAGTAGCCAAGAAACATGAACAGCAGAAAGATGTTGGAACCGTAAAAAAATGTTGATGGGCCAGCAAGGGAGCAGAGAAAAAGTGTTAGCTGAGTGCACTGGAAAATTTTGCTTCTCAGCGAGCACAAATGTAGTGTAGCCTCCTTAAGGAGGAAAGGAAAGGAAGAAAAAAAAAAAGCCAGTGCCAAACTGGTTTATCATGTTTATGTTCTTTAAGTACAAGTGATTTTAGTTTTAAAGATTCATGTTACCTTTGAACACGGATAAGTTTTAAAACACCAGTGTTAGCATGAGATACTTTTTATAATCTGCCTGGAGTACAGCGATGTTTCTTGGCTGCGTTACAAACATTACATATTAGCTCCAAATTAAGGCAGCAGCGGCAGCAAACTCATTATACCAGGAAGAAAGAAAGGGAAAGTTTTCTAAAAAAGCCTCCCAAGCTTTCGTTTCTGTTTAAGGACACACTGCGGAGCTGCACGTGGGGTGCTTCCCCAACCATGCCAGGGGCCACGTCCAGCCCCGCCAGCTCCGTGCTCCACACCGAGGCCACAGGGAGATGGAGACAGACAGCATTTGGGCTGCAAGATAGCAAGAGGAGGCCAAGGAGTGTAACTGGCACCTCCTCCAGATGGGAAGGAAGCACCCACAGGCACAGAGTACCCAAACCCACAGAGACCTCTGTGCTTCTGGCCAAGACAAACTGAAGGTGCCAGTCCTTCAAGAACTGTCTTGGAGAACATGTTGGCCACCAAAGCTGCCTAAAACACATTGCTGCTGGCCTCCCCCGCAGCAATGACGATGCTCAGAAACACCACCCAGCCTCACAGCCCCACAGCCCCACCTCAGCGCTGCTCTGAAGCCTCTGAAACCCCCTTTCCCTTAAGGACAAGGGTATACAAAATTCTCCCTCTTGTTGCATCCCTCTGAGATGCACCCGAGCTCCTCCCTTTCTCCAGCACTCCCCAATGTACTGAGCCCCAATGTGTTTGGCTCCAGGAGAGCCATCTCGTTGCAAGTCCAGGTAAGTCAGTGGTGATCCCACCTTGGTCCAAGTCCACAGTGTCCCCCATGCAGGCTCCCTGCTGCATTTCAGCTCCAGGGATTCTGCAGGCAAGGTCATACAGCTCATACAAGGCAATCCATGCACCCGCTGATTTTTAGCCTCAGTAATGCTGTCCTGGAGTTGAAATCCAGTATTGAGGGCTTGCATGTGCCCTCAGAGTGCCTTGCACAACACGCCGCGATGCCTATCAGAGTCAGCTCCGCGTATCAAAGGGATCTGGTGCTCACCCATGCTGCGAACACCTTGGTTTTTAAACAACGAAACTGCTTAAGGGCCTTTTCTTGCCGGGATGGCACCGGAGCAGGAGTACGGCTGGCACAAACAAAAGCAAAAGGAACAATCCCTGCAATTCCCATGCTCCTGCAAAATCCCTGCTACAAATTTTGCAGGATAAAAACACAGCATATCCAGGAGAGGCCTCAAACGCTACTCAATAACGTGGGCTGAAGTGGGACATCATGTAGACATCCGCCTTGCAACATCTGATCTTAGAAAAACAGTAGAACTGCACAAAAAAGGGCAATACAAAAAAAAAAAATGTTTGAAGAGTGGGTGCAACCCCTAAAGGAAGAGCAGGTCTTGATAGTAAAGGAAGATGCTGCTACCTTGTGTGTTGGGAAGGGCAGACACCAAGCGAAGGCTGGGCACAAGCCCAGGCAGCAGCAGGGGGTGAGTCTGGAAGGGAATGGTTGGGGAGGTGTTGGGAAGGCTGAAGAGGAAGGAACTGCAGAAACCATGATGGGAGACATCTGGTCCTTGATTTCCGAACCATGGGCTATTTTCTGGCCGAACGCTTCCTTTTGGCAATCCACGCTGATCTCCTGGGGACTTTACAGGAGGTTAACAGGGCTACGGGGGAGAGTTCAGGGAAAGGCCAGGAACGGATGGATAAGTCCCCCTTCGCTGCCACCAAGAAGAACAGCCAAATAATCTGCAGTTTGGTGTTTGATTAACATATCTGCCTACAATAAATCCCAGTTTACGGCATCAGTGACACTCACCCGGACACAGGGGTGTAACTAGGTCACATGGCTGCCTTGCCAGGACCGGGCTCCTCCTTGTGCTGCTGCTTTTGGGGTGTTTTCCCCTTTCTACACTGGCTGCGTGTGCTGCGGTGCAACATTTCACGACATTTTCTCACTCAGACGATGAGCTTGAATCTCACAGGAGACCCATCAATCCACTGGCTGCAAATTTTGCCACTGAAGCCAAGGGGGATTTTGCCATTGGCCATCAGAGAGGAGCAAGACGGAGCCCAGGAAAGTTTCCAGCTGGGGATATTCTCCATATGGAGCAAAGGCAGGATCCGCTCCTCTGTCCTGCAATTAGACACGGCTTCTTCCTCGAGCGCCTCCCCTCCATTGGGGTGCTCTTCCATGCGATTTGGGGCTCGCCAGGGCTGGGCACCCCTGGATTAATGTGCCAAGATTCAAACAAACAGGACATCGCTCTCCAGTTGAACTGGAACTGGAAGAAAGCATCTACACATTGAGAACGGTGCCTTTGTTCTCACTTGCAGGAGCAGCAAACAAAACATCACTGCTTCGGTTTGCTGTGTCCCCAGAGTCCTTTCATTACTGCTTTTTAAGGAGGTGAAAATGTTGCTACTCCTCTTTTCAAGCAAAGCTTGCAAAGCTCCAGAGAGTTTCAGGAGCGAAGAAGGAGGAAGGATGAAAGACAGGAAAAATCTCTAGACCTGCTCTCTCTAAATTAATTACAAGCAATGATTTTGCATGCGCAGGTGTGAAAAAAAGGGACCCACAAACATTGTCACAGGCCCTTTCCCATCATCAAACACTAAGCCCGACAGTCCATTTTGTTCGTCAAAGACACCGGCCACCCATCCAACTGGAATGACCAATTAAAAAACAACTGAGAGTGATACTTGGAATAATTAATACAGCCCAGCGCTCATTTAGCAATTAGGAGCTGCCACAAAATTCTGCAGCAGACAGAATCAACCCTAATTGTGTAATTTCCCCAGCTGACGCCTCCGAGTACACAGCCAGATTTAACTGGAGATTATAGGGGCTCTTTGAAGGTGCAGGGGCTACGCAGCAGGGGCTCCAAACAAACAGATACAGAGGGGTAGGGAGCACTGGGGCAGAAGAGCAGTGTGTGAAAAGGGAGTTTTGTTTTTGTTTCAGGGCCAGGAAAAACAGCTGTAGAGAACAGAGGTATTGGAAAGCCTCTTTTTTGCAAAGGCAGATCATGGTTTGTGACAAGGCTGCAACAAATTGAGCCGATGATTTGAAACTGCTGAAGTTCCTCTTTCTTCTTTTCTGCTGCCAGTCCCCAAGGGATGCCCTGCTTCTGTGCTGCCCTTCGGAGAGGATTCTTAAGGGAGGGTGAGCAGAGCAGGGCACTCCATGTGGAGGGCCTGTCTCTGTGCTCTTCAAGGGTTTTTGCACCAAATATTCATTTCTCTTAGGACAGATTTCCTTTCGTTCTCGTGCTTTGGTATTTCCACCTCCCATCATTCAACAGTTTTGGGTCAAAACCCCCAAATTAACAAGATTGGTTTCAAACTCATGATGCTCTTGGAGTCAGCTCTCCAAGCTCTTCTCTATAAATATGAGGATAAGAAACTCACTTGAACAACACAAGTAAGACAGACAAACAACTATCATTGCAAGAGGCCAGGAGACAAGGTTTTATTTAGTGACGTGTAATATGGCAAAATGCAAGGAGCCAGTCCTGGATGGATTACCTCCCCTTACATATGAAAAAGTTGGCTCTTTTTCTTTTACATTAAATCCTGTTTTTTGCCTTCACTCTTCTAACTGCTGACCATGGCTATGTCTGATGGCCAAGCACGGGCTCATACACTTCATTAGTGGGGTACCTTTTTGCCACAAGAGATGGAGGACACAGGTCTTTGGGTTGTCCACAGGACATGGCACTGGCTGCACCCACGTGTCCCCCTGCCTGGGATGGTACTGCAGTCCCTGTCCCTAGGGGGATGTCCCAGCAGCGGCAGTGCCAGGGTTAACAACACAGCTCCCCAGACTCATGAGAAGACCTCTGAAGATTAACCAGAGGGTCTGACGTCAAACAAAGCAATATAAAGCACACCCACGTCATGACACGCCATGGGGTTTCATCGCGCTGGCACGTTAAGCTAATCAACCTTTTTAAACCAGAAGAGAATCCAACTTTTTATAACGAGACCTTTAAGTAAAGCCAGTGGTTACCTTCAGGTCTAAAAAAAGAGACAGCCTTGAAGTCAAGAAGACCCAGAATACAGACTATAAATACATGTGGTGAAATGTGTGTTCTCCTTTTCACTGAAGAAAAATGTGTCTTTCTGTACCATAAACCAGATGATGTTTTGTGACACCTGTTGCTAAGAGATGGAGTTTACTACAAACCACATAGAAAAAGGCACAGAACTGTTAATTGCGCTCATCAAAAGCTGCTCTGCAGCAGGAACAAATCCTGACCAAACCTGACACTCCCTATGCCTCCACCAGGCTCCAGCAGGCATCAGGAGCCCTGAGCACCTCTGCTAAGGTGCTTGTCCCCTCGCAGGATCTGGCCCTTAATTAGAAGCTCTCAGAAAACCACTAACTGCTGCCGAGGGGTTGCCTGGTACTGTAACTCACCATTACTGTCCACACACTGCACAACACAGTGGTATGAATTTATTACAGTGGGAGACCTGTTTTAAAGAGTCCTGCATATCCAACGCTATGGGCAGGAGAAATTTTCCAGTCATGTTGAACTTCTGCCAACATACATAGCTGATTGGGAGTTCAAATGTAAGACATTTATTTATAAAAAACACATACACACAGGCAGCCCGCTTTGCAGAAATATAAAGAGCATAATAAAACACAACACTAACGCCTCTGAAGCATGTAATGATCCTGATTAATGCTATTGCACTTAAAGAAACAAGCACTGGAATTGAATGAGATTCAGTAAAAGCACTGAGAGGCTCCGTCCTGAGGCTCCCTTCCCCCATGTGCAAAAGAAAAAAGCCAGTAAAGCCAAAGGGGTTGCTCCTGCTTATGGCATCAGTAAATTTGGCCCTTGGCTAGTGTAAATTTTGCGCTCTGCCTCCAGCTAAGATGCTGGTAAGGACCAGAATCAAACCAGCTAAAATTAAAGCAGGCCAGCGTTTGCAATGGTGTAAAACTGGTGTAACGTGTATAGTAAAAAAACCAACCAACCAACCAACCAACCAATCAAAAAAACATGATAAGTGTGTTTCTCTGGTTTTACACGCAAGGAGAATTTATAACTCTAGCTCATCAAGTCAGATGCACAGAATCAAGTCTCAAAAAAATAAATCACTCTGCTGCAGCTGTAAGACATTAGAGCAGCAATACCACTCTGACAGCTCTTTCTAAATTTCTAGATAAACATCATCAAGGTACCAAGTCCAGAGAGTTTGGCCTCCCCATCCTAAGGTCACTGATTTCAGGACAGAAGAAGACCTGCTGTCAGAACATCCAGATGAGCTGCTCCGTGTGGGAGCCACATCTCTTTAAAATAAAAGGCCTCTGTATCCCAGAAAAACAAAATTACCTGTATCTTCGGACTCATCGTCATCATCTTCATCGTCGCCCGATGAAGGGGAATCTAGGAGGAGAAGGAGAAAGAAGTGAAGCAGAAAGAGGATAGCACATGGGGACACCATGTTGGACAAGGCTGCTGGGGCCATGACGGGCTCCAGCAAGGGAGGACATGAAAGTGATGGGTCACCATTCCCTGCAGCCCCACCAGCCCATCCCTCCTATGCTGCTGGGCCACAGACAACCAGCCAGGTGCTTTCTGAACTGGGAGAAAGGTGTCATGAGTTTGCCAGTGCTCTGCCACCAGAAACCGGGGTCTAATGCCAAATACTTCTCCCTGTGTGAAGTGCTCTTCTCCTCATAAATACAAAAAAAAGTTTCTTTTTGCCAAACAGGCTCTCCCCAGCTTTTTTTTCCCTCTAGCATTCCCTCTGAAGACTTTTTATTTCACCAAGTCTCAAAATGACAGGTCAGCATTTCTAATTCACTTTCCCTGCATTTTTTTCTTTCAACTCAATACACCCCTACCACGTCTCGCCTTGTTCTCAGCACAGATCCAAAACACAGCCTCTTACTAGCTGCTATGAAGAAAATTAACTCTGTCCCAGCCAAAACCAGGACAACTCCTTGATAAATCACTCAGACCAAAGCTTTTAAAACTTCCCCTTGCAATCAAACCTCCCTCTCGATGGACATGCTCTGTGAACCAGTTCCCTTCAGTTATATTCATCCTGAAGAGGCACCTCGAGGCTGTAACTGAATCCAGGTTAACAGGTGGGAATTTTCCATCTCTATCTCTCCAAAACATCCTGAACTGTTTCTCTTAATGTGGTCTAACATCTCACCTTCTCCAGGCTGCCCACAATGAAGTCTCAGTCCCTCTTCCCCCACAAAAGGACTACTGTAAATGTAAATCCCACTATAAAATAGCAGCTTAGTGTTTGATTTAGTTTACACATTTTAGTACAATTCAGTGTCTGGAAGATTTAGCATGACTGACTTCTCCAGGAATTTCATTTTTAAAGAAAGGCAGAACACTAACAATCCAGCAGCCTTTTTGTGTGAGACAGTGGTAAAAGAACTTGGCCCTCTACACACTAGAACATAGGAAACTTTATGAGTGTTCAACATGTGGCCAAAAATGTAAAGCACTAATTTAGACCAAGGCAGGCAGAACGTCCTTCATTCCAAGACATACTTGAGTTTTCTGTTCTTCTGTCAGCAGTTCAATTGAGGTAAAAATGAAAAAAAAAAGACAAAAAATGGGGGAAAAAGAAGAGATAGGGAAAAGGTAACAACAAATTTACTTCTCTGCAGAATCTGGAAGGACTTTCCAGAGATAGTCACCACCTATAGCAGCAAGTAACACAGGGATCATCTCCCTGCTTTAGACTGCAGTAGTGCATCATGCTTTGCACCTTTTCTTTGGCAAAGTCTCAAGGAAGACTTCAAGCATGTATCTAACTGCAAATCCACAGTTGAGGTCCTGCTGGCAACAGAACTAGGGAAATGCCACAGGGCTTGCTGAAAGTGAAGTGGATGTTTAGGTGTTTTGGCTGAACCAGCAGGTTTATTCAAGTCCCAGTGAAGGCAGAAATGGAGCCAAATGCCCACCAGCGTCGGCAGAAAAACCAGTGCATTCTCAGCCCTGCGCTCTCAGATTTGGTTACCCATATGCTAACATGTGATTATAGATTACTTCTGGTTTCCAATGAACCACTTGTGACCAGAGAAGCAGAATCAATTTTTAAACCAATTCAAAAACACTTCCACAAGAATGAGGGAAGAGTCTTTGACTTTCCCGGTATTTCAGATGAGAGATGCAGCTTAGGTTGTAAGACCAAATATCCCATGTTCAGAGCTACTGTCCTATTCAGGTTACTAAAACATCACTTTTTTCAGAAGGTGACTTAAAAATTCCCAAGCTATTTGTTAATCATTTACTAAGATAGTAATGCTTTTCAGAAGTTGATGAGTACTGCCATCAGCAAGAACTGCTAGATGCTGTTCTCAAAAGGGCTTTAATTATGAATGGAAAGGGGCTTGATTTTTTTAGTTGCCTGTTTTGAAGAGCTTAGTCTTGAGTATTTCGAAAGTTCTTTTCACTGGTACCAGCCTGCACTCCGTGCTCGTCACAGAGGTGCTGCTCGGCCACTAAATCCAAATGCTGTTCTGTGCATGAAATGGCTGCAGAAACGGAGCCTCTGCCAAAGGGCTGGAGATCAGTTTGGGCATGCAGCCTCTATTTGTGATCCTCTTCAAGTGCTCAGGTTTTAAGAGGATAGTATGTTTATTTTTGCAAACTAGCAAAACACTCAAGCCTATGTCTGTCATGGGAGGCATTTTAAAGAGATCAAACCCTGCTATTAATCAACCTGGTCTTCAACCCTGAAATACCAGCTCCAGCATCTCCTTTCTCTGCCTTCAGCATCAAGCATCTCACTGTGCACACCAAGAGTCACTGCAGAAGAGCCAATTTGCTGCAGACTCAAACCTCATGTCTGCATGTAGGAAAATCCTGATATGCTCCTAGAATCTGGAAGCAACTCTCAAAATGGGACTCCAGTGTGTATCAGTTATTCTGAATACACCTATCCCAGTTTTGCTCACTTAAGAATACAGATCAGAGCAATTCCAGTCTGTTAGCACAGATTTAAATCAGTTTAACACAGAGAACAACTCCAGCCCCAAACATTAGATACTCACAAACACCCAACCAGATACTCGAGCTAATCGCTGGCGTTACCTTTAAGAAGTGGGAACACAAACCACAAATCTCTGATAACAATCTCATCTCCGCAGTGCCATGCTGAGCAATCAATACTAATTATGAAGAAATATCTGAGCATACGAGAGGCGCCACTATTGCCACATAAAGCAGGGCTTCAAAGTTTAAAACAAGTGCTGCTGACAGCTAAAACAGAGACTCCCACATTGCCAGCACTTTGGTGGTAATGACAGTGGGCTAATAGAATCAAAGACTCATAATGCCGTTGGAAAGCAGGTTCAGGTTACTCGCTTGTTCTTAAGCTGTTATTAGCTATTATTAGCGAAGAGGAAAAACACAGGGGCTTAAACTTTTTAAAAGCAGAGGATTATCAGCCCTTCTACTATTAAAAACAATTTCTCACTTTACAAACTTTTGGGGCTGGCAGCTGTTTCATTCGAGCGTGTAACCAGCTGCCCTCTTCTGCCTCCTTGCTGCCCCTTGAACTCAAAAGCATTTTAATGTCACTTAAAAAAAAAAGAAAGAGTAACATTTCTAACAACCTGCAGTTCCTTGGATAGTTCCAATAATCGTACCTAGTTAAAGAAAGCCTTTCAAGGGCCAAATACTTCTTTAACCATTTAATTGATATGACCTTGAAGCATTCACAGCAATCTCCAGTAACGTTCAATGAAAAGCAGATGTTGGTGAAGGCCTGCTGAAACAAGCTTTTATTCTCACGATGGTTTGATTCTCTCACTTACACCAAATCCTATTTCTGGCACGAGAAAGCCCTTTATGAAGTGGATGTGACTTACAATCACAAACATCTCTGTGTTTGGTTTTCAGACAGAGCCCCTTACTTTTTGAGGGAACTCAACTTGTGGAGGCAAGGACCTACTGTTTGGGGATGCTCGAAAAAACTCCAACAGCGCAAATGAAAGTTTTGAAAACCTTGGATCCACAAGGGCTTAATTCTTCTGAAAATTCAGGCTTTTAATCTGTGTGATCAGGAGGCTTTCTATCTGCTCACAGTGATGAGTATCCATCTACCAATGTGGCAGCCTGAACTCATGGAGATGGCCTTAGCACTAGCTGTTAGCTACCTGGGAAGAACAGATTTTTCTTGCACCCTCTGTTCAGTGATCCAGGCTCGGACAGCTTGTAGCTGTTCTGTCCTACTGTCCTAACGATGGAAAATATGGCCAAGCAAATGACAGCAGGTGCTTTGCTAGCACAGCAGTTGTTTGCAATATATGAATCCCAGTAAGTACCTGTGATGAAGCACATATTTGAGACATACACCTTCCAAAAAAACCTAGTAATTTGTGATAACTGAGATAGAGGGAAGAGACTTATCAGCTACAATAGGCAAATAGTTTTTAGGAACCTCCAGCTTTTACATGTAATTTTGCCACTGATTTGTCACATAAAGTGGAAAAAGTCACTTAACCTCCCTGAGCCACAGTTCACTCACTCACAAAAGACTTCAAAGGCAAATGTAGCATCGCATCTATTTGAGTGTTAAGGGGGATTTGGGGTTTAATCTAACTAGCACCGTTTCTAAGTCTCTCCCAGTATTAACATCAAGCTTTAACATTTGGTATGGACACGCAAGCATTCTTTGATTGGTTTGTTTTGTCAGTCTCATCACTGCCAGGAGCTACCAAGGAGGTAGAGACTGAGCAAGTACGGAAGAACACCACAAAGCACCAGCTGTGCTGAATATGTGAAGGGGCAATAATAATAATAATAATAATAAAGATAATAAAAAACAGAGAAAGCTGTATTCTGCACATACCTATAACTCTGACTGTAAAGTTTCCCAGGACCTCATTGGAATGCCTTGGCTTGCAACTGTACAGCCCCGAGTCATCACAGGACACATTGATTATCTTCAACAGTTTTTGTCCAATATGAGTTCTGTTGGTAGGTGAAACCCCGATACCATCTTTAAACCAGAAAACAGACACAGAAGAGCCTTGGGTGTTACAGGAAAGTTCAATGGTATCTCCACTTCCAAACACCAGCTCTTCCAGAAAGGCGGTCTCGCTCCTCAAGTATTCTGCAAAGGGAGAAAGAAATGGAAACGAGTAAATAAGAGCAGCTGTCAGAGACCGAAAGAGCAGTTAAAAGAGAAACGTATCTTATATTTGCCCTACTGATGCTGCCATATGCCTGGAGCTCCTCCTTGCCAGAGGTAAGGCTTGCCTACCCCAGGCAGGTAGTAGTGCAGAAAGACAGCTGTATGCACTGCAGTCTGGTCTTTGGCTGATCTACAAGGATGGTTCCAACCCTCCAGCGACCAAAACACAGCCACCCCATCAGATGCACCACAACGTACACCCCTCCCTGCAACACCCAATGTTGTGTGTGGGTGTGATCTCGCAGAAATAATTATGTGTGCTGCAAAGTTCACAGTTCAATCTCTGGATCTCGATTTCTTTATTCCTGCCAATCTGTTCACAACCCTTCCAAGACCCAGAAAGGAGGGGATACAAGGAGCAGAAATGGGGATAAATCAATTTCTCAGGTGACTCTGGGTGGTCCAAAGGCAGCCTCTGTGGGCTGAAGGAAACAAGGGGGAAGGCTGGACAGAAGACGCAGGCTGGAATAGCTAACATAAACGAACCCATCGCTAGCTCGCTGGAGTTACTCTGTGCAAAGAAGAAGTGCAGAACCAAAGATCAAACATGAAAGCTGAAATCTTTATTTCTTCAGCCTATCTGCCAGCTGTGGCAGTTCATTTCACTAGTGAGGACAGTGAACCCTGCCACGGGCTGGAGAATTTTGTTTTACTATAGGATAATGACACAAGGAAAGGTTCAAGCTCAGAAATCTCTCCATGGAGGAACATGGGGCATGTGGAAAGTGTGGTTCTTGCATCTGATGGTTCTCAGGCTCGTTTTAGTAACATAAACTCACTCCTGACATTGAATGTTTTATTCCTCCTTTATACCAGTTTAATAGAGAAGAATTAGGCCTCCACAGGTGCCCTCAACCCATCTACGTCAACAGCAAGACTGCCGTTTTCCCCACCCTGTCCACACTAACCAACATTTTCACTTGGCATTGCCCTATCTCTATCTTCTGGCTTACAGCAGCTCTGAGACTCTATGCTCCACCAGGCATAACAGTCTTTTTGGTTTTGTATAATATGTATCACACGGGATCCTATTCCACAACAAAGACACTGTGGTGCTATGATTACATAATTAGCAAGTAAAAAGTAATTCAAAGCAGATTGATCTGAACTTAATTCTATGATCCAAACCCAGGTGGCCTAAGTTGATCTCCAATAGTAATCAGATATGGATAGACATCCTAATTTTGCAGCTTAAGCATATTCATAGATTACAATTTGACTGTGAAACCAATGCAATTACAGCAGCTCTGAATACCTGAGGATGTGGCATTGGCTTCGAGCTGCTCTTTTGCCATTAAGTGAAAGAGTTGGAGCGGGTTGTAAGAAAAAAACATATTGCTTTTCTCTTCTTGTCACCCAAGTTTTAGCTGTGCAGAAATTTAAAATTTAAAAATATAAAAATGTTTCAGTCAATATCCTTGCAGGGTAGAAACAAAGAACCCCAGGGGCCCAAAAATGTGGTATTTTAATGGGAGGTATCGTCTCACAGGAGGCAAAGCCCACGCTCATTGGGGTTATGAAGAACCTTTCCTCCGGTACCCTGGCAGCAATTGCAATTCAAATTCAGGTTTTGGCCAGAATTTTGTGGTATTCATACAGTCAAAGGTACAAGGTGTGGTATTTTTTTTTTCTTTTACTGAAAAGATTTTCCCTGAAAGCATATACTTTTAGTAAAAAGAAAAAGACGACAGAGCTCCAGCATCTCTTTCCTATCAGATCAGCACCTGTTGCAACATTGAATGTTCACCCATGGTCTCCTCCCAGCTGGGATATATCCTTGGGGAAAATACAGTTGAGAAATATTCTGGTTTAACTGTTCCTTTCACGTTTTTTTCTTCCTTCTTCTAGACTATAAGGTTTTTTTCAATGGTACCAACTCTGGCTTTAAATTAAAAAGCCCTGTATACAGCTTCGCATTTGCAGGACTGGGTACTGACCTTTGTTTGTTGACTCTGATGGAAGCTCTTGCTAATTTAATCTACTGGAAAAAAAAAAAACCCAAACCCTGCACAGCTGCACAATCCCTCCACACAAAACACACAGTTTTACCCAAGCTGTTTGCCAAATGATCAAGACTTGTATATTTTGGCTTTTGTATCATAAACTTACCAAATAGGAACAAGTCCAGACTAAGCACAAGCCAAACTGTTTAGCTGTTTAAAAGGAAATCAGAAATCACTCTTTTTTGAAAGCCATAATGAACCTGGGTTAATGACAAAGCTACAAACTACTTTTATAAAACACAATCAGGGAATGCTGAAATGGAGAGGAAATTCACTTTAGACTCAGATCACAACAACTGGGGTCTGAAGCATCTTCTGTGGAAAAAAGCATCAACACTTGCTTCTGACAACTTTATTTTGGCATCTCTGCCCTCAATCTCCCCAGCTGGTCTCCAGCAGACATCATGATGCCTGTCAAATGTGAAATTCAGTCCTAGCGACTTCATTCCTACTGACTGGGAGTAAAATCTGGAAAGATGGAGTAGCGAATTAAAAGGAGAATGTTACTAATGGTTTTAATCTCACTTCTTTAAACAATTTTTCAAATTTCAGTTTATATGCTTATGGCTTAAAAAATAAACAGGATCCAAATTGGAGACCTCCACAAAGTACTTAAATGTGCACTGAAGTGCTTAAGCACTTTGCCTAACTGTGACCCTGGAGAACAAAGTTTTACTATTATGATTCCTTATATAGCTTTCAAATATGATGATAAATCTGAAAGTGGAGACAGTCTCATCTCTGTGCTGAGAACAGCTGGAGTTTAAAGCGTGGAACCAGAGCTCACACCTCCCACAGGGTATCCAGAGCCCAGAACCTCCTTGGCACCTTCCAGCTGCAAGTGCCTTGTGTTTTCAACACCTTCCCCACAAAAAGGACAGTTCCTCCCCTAGCAAGACATGAAGGAGACATAAAGTTGCCCTTCCTCAGGCCAAGCATCCAGACATCAGATTCACTTGCAGAAGTCTACATCTCCAACCACGTTTCATGAAAAAAGTGGCAAGATCTGCGTGTGCAGCTCGCAGTTGGAAGGGGTTTAAGGCAGACGGGTTGAGCCCTTCTGGGGACCTGGGTGAGGGTTTGGCCACCTTCTTCATCCTGCATCTTTCATTGATAAATCATAAGGAAGCAGTACAGGGGAGCAGGCACCAAGCTCTCCCAGCATGCTTGCTTCTTCCATCTGCTCACACACCTTTGACTGAGGCAGTCAGAAAACTTCCCATTGCAAAGGGGAGGCAGGTTTTCACATTCACTGGGGCTACAAACACACATCTCCCAGATCTCAGTCGTGTGGCCTAAGAAAACCATCCTTGCTGCTGGCAAACAGCCACCCCCACGCGTCCTTTAAAACTTTCCTAAAGCGTTGCTATTGCAAGTCAGGTTGCAAAGGTCCCCCTTGGCTCTCCCAAAGGAAACTCCCATTTGGGATCTAACTGACATTAACAGTATCTTTTCCAAATCCACAGCAGACATAGGTATGAATTACTGGGGAGTTAACTTGTGTAGGGGTTATGGGAGCCCACTCCGTCACTTGCCAGCAGAGCAGGGACTAAGGCCTTTGCAGCTCTAATGGGTTCTTAAGAGAGGAGGAGGCAATCTAGGTAGTGGGCTCCCAAGATAAGACTAAAATTCAACCATTTATTAGTTTGGCCAAAGCAGTAATGAGTCGAGAATCACCAAGAGATGCTTCTGATGGAGATCAGCACTTTCAGCATCATCACTGCTGCTCCTAGCAAACATGTTCCAGAGAAAGAGGCAATTTTTAAGCTGTTCAGAGGAGCAAAAAGGCAGCAACTACTGGGAAGCACCTTTCACAATGAGGAGCAGCTGGCCCAGCAATGCTAAAATGCTTTTGTATGTATTCACTTATAAGGATAAGATCTCCGTAGCTCCTTGGCTCATCCCAGCAATAACTCACTTTCTGTGTGGTTTGCAGCTCCAAGTGCTTAAGTGTGTCAGTATTTCCATCAGATGTTTGCTCCTCTTAGACATCAATACTTGTTACTCGCGGAGCCTGGAAATGTTTTACTTTGGTTTTAATGCAGGCAGCTCTCAAGAACTGCAGAAGGATATGCAGTCTTTTATTTTTCAGGCACAAAAGGACGAGGAGGTGGAAGGTGGTGGGGTATTCCTGGGCTGCTTATGGCCCCCCAGGAACTACAAGCCAACCTAGAGCCTGACTGGTGCCTTCCTCAGTGTCAGGGACTATTTCCAAGTGCTGTGGTCAAAGTGTGGGGGCTGATGCTGGGCAGAAAAGGGGTGTTTGGGAGCCTCCCGAGAGACTGCTCAGGCAGGTGCATGCCTGCCCCATCATCATCCTCTACCTCCAGCGAGCATCCCACAGGCAGGGCACATCACCATACACCCAAAACCCCACTGGCACTCCCACCACAGAGGGCTCGAGGCACACAACCTTCAGTATCACCAGCAAAACTTTCCTTGTTCCACCTTGAACCCTGGCAATCCTGGAGAGGCTTTTTGGAATTGCTTCATAGCTTGGTGCTGGAACAGACTAAGCGGCTTATTTCTCAGTGGATCATATTTTCCCCTTTTCGAGCTGGACAAGCTGTATTTGGCATGTTAACAAGCTGAAAGATAGCAACACTCCACGCATTTCTCTCTTAAGGTTAACTCAAAAACATTTCTTGTCCTATGTATTTTCTTGCACCAAATCCACCATGACAGGACATATTATAGGATCACAGAGCAACAACCATGACAAAACTTTTCTCCTGTTGAGTTCGGCATCCCGTTCCCAGGTGAATCATGGGGACAGCCACCAAGTTGGTGGTTAACCAGTGAAGGGATACGGAAACCTCCAGCATCAGTGGGATGAACAAGGCCATGATGGCAAAGAGCACGTAGACTGTCTCCAGGCTCAGACCAGCGCCGTGTCCTCTGCATGAGCTCAGCCCT